AACCCCTAAACCCCTAAACCCCTAAACCCCTAAACCCCTAAACCCCTAAACCCCTAAACCCCTAAACCCCTAAACCCCTAAACCCCTAAACCCGGGGTCGGGGCCGAGCTCGATTATGGACCGCTTCTGCGTCTCGGTCATTGTATGCCCCTTAAGGGTACCAACAGGTGTCGTAACCTAAGTCAGCTCGCACATATTGAGACTCATTTCCTAGCCCTCAGCCCCACTTGAAATCCGTTCATGTGGCAGTTCCTTGGGGTTTAGGGTTTAGGGCTCATTCTTTCTCCTTTCTCCCTTCGATTCTGCTGGTTCCTTTTGGGCTCTCGCTTTGGGTTCGGATTCCCCTTCTTGCAGTATTGGGCGGCCTCAGAAGGGGACGAAGTGGAGTTACAAGTGCCCCAAAAGCGACCCCATCTTTCATTGCCCCTTCTCCTTCTTACTCTTATCCCTCAACCCTAAGCCCTAAAACCCTAAACCCTAAACCCTAAACCCTAAACCCTAAACCCTAAGCCCTAAACCCTAAACCCTAAACCCTAAACCCTAAACCCTAAACCCTAAACCCTAAACCCTAAACCCTAAACCCTAAACCCTACGTATGGAGTCCCTTTTGCGATGGCGTGGTTCTGCACCCAAACTGATAGGGTTTAGGGCCTTTGGCCTTCAGGGTTAGGGAAACCCCAAACCTGAAAACCTAAACCCTAAACCCTAACCCTAAACCCTAAACCCTAAACCCTAAACCCTAAACCCTAAACCCTAAACCCTAAACCCTAAACCCTAAACCCTAAACAACCCTCAACCCCCCCCGAAGGACCGTGCTCCAGATTTGGTTCAATGCCGAGCTCGGTGCCAATCGGAATGGCCAAGTGGGCGTGCGGGGCCCCATCGATGTCAAACTCGTTTACTAGATGCTGAAGAGCCCTCAAAAATTCAAAGCGATTCTCTTTGTAAGAGCAATTTTGGGATTATGCATCTTCTTTTTTTGCGGGGGTGGGGGGGGTTCTTAAACAAGTAGTAATCGTGCGCCACTAGTATCATGACCGTCAGATATTATCATGTTCCGTTCTTAATCATTATGCAACAATAGTCACGATGAATTCCGTGGCCTTTTGGGGGCCTTGAATCCTGGAGTTTGCAGGTTATGGTTTAGGGTTGAGGTTACCCAAGCCCTTCAAACCCTGAAACCCTACGCCCCCAAGCTAACATCCTGCAGTAGAATGCGCTTGCGGGGTAGCGGAGTTCCTGCAGGTGTCGCTTTTCCTACGCCGGCTAGCGGAGTAATTAATCCCCCATTTAGGGTTTAGGGTTTAGGGTTTTTCCGGAAGGAGGCCCCCAAGGCAGCCGCACAGTACACTCTGAACCCTAAGACAACGTGGCCCTATAAACCAAAAACCCTCGAATCTTGGTCCAGAGACTTCTGTCAGTCGACGTTGAGATCGGTAGGGCTGTAGGTCTTTGAGGTTTGGGGGTTCAGCTGCAAGGTTTAGGGTTGGAGGGCTTCAGGGGTTCAGGGTGTTGGGTTGACCTGTCCTAAGCCCTGAAATCCGAAGCAGAAAGCCTATCAACACCCCCGCAAGAGAGCCACTGCGATACGGCTTGCTTAAGGAGTATACCTTCTGTCTAGTAGGCAATGAGGGAATTAGGTACCCTATAGAATATTTACAGGGGGATGGAAGGTTCCTAGCTCCCTCATTTCTTACGCTTACCTAAGGAGTATCGTTGTCGTTGTAGTAAGGGAATTAGCTACCCTATAGAGGCCCTGAAAGGGTATGTACAAGGGGATGTAAGGTACTTAATTCCCTCAATGCTTACTTTGAACCAGTACATCGTTCACATTCAGAGCCCCTCATCGAGCTCAAGGGGTCTGATTCAAAGGGTTTTTTTGGGCTCAGAAGGCCCGATGACCCCCTAAACATCTCTAAACATCCCTAAACCCTAAACCCTAAACCCTAAACCCTAAGCCCTAAAACCTCAGGACTGAACACCAAAAACCCACGCTTTTCAGGTCCACGCCCCACATGGTTTCGAGTTCGGGACGCCGCGGTGCCGCATTACACAGGAAAACCCCAGCACCCATCGTTTAGGGTCCAGGGTTCAGGGTTCAGGGGTTTAGGGGTTTGGGGGTTCAGGGGTTTGGGGTTTGGGGTCTAGGGTTCAGGGTTCAGGGTTCAGGGTTTAGGGTTTAGGGTTTAGGGTTTAGGGTTTAGGGTTTAGGGAGTGTTCCTTCAGCCATGGCAGGACAATCCTAAACCCCAAGGCTCTAAAGCCTAAACCCTAAACCCGAAAACCTAAACCCCAAACCCTAAACCCAAAACCCCAAACCCTAAATCCTAAACCCTAAACCCTAAACCCCAAACCCTAAACCCCAAACCCCAAACCCTAAACCCTAAACCCTAATCGCAGGGCGTAGGTTTTCGGGGGGCCTCGGAATCTTCGGATCCCACGAGCTGCTGAGGATCTGCACCGCGCGCGATCTCCCGGATGCGCCTTCTCAGCACATTTTAGGGCGCAGGGTGTGGGGTTTAGGGTTTAGGGTTTAGGGTTTAGGGTTTAGGGTTTAGGGTTTAGGGTTTAGGGTTTAGGATGTAGGGTTTAGGGTTTAGGGTTTAGGGCTTAGGGTTTAGGGTTTAGGGTTGTAGGGTTCAGAGTGCAGGGTCCCCTCATCCGACGGCGCGGCACAGGGTTCGGGCGCCCTTCCTGACCCCGAAACCCGAGGAGTACTACTCGAGCTTTGGGCCCCCGGCCACGATTGCGCCGCAGCGCGTGTGGCGCCTCGAGGTCTGGGCGTTAAGGGCATTTTGGGGTTGAGGGGTTTAGGGTTTAGGGTTTCGGGTTGAGGGTTTAGGGTTTGGATTATATATCGGGTTTAGGGTTTAGTTTAGGGTCTAGTGTTGAGAGTTTCTAGGGTCGAGGGTTTTTAGGGTTTCGGGTTTAGGGTTTCGTGTGGTTTGGTTTTTTTGAGTTTGTTGTTCAGTGGTTGAGGTCTCGGGATTGGCTGTTCGTGCTTTCGTTTGTTCGGGGGCAGGAGCGAGCGTAGGCGTGCTTTCTTCATATGAGCTTATCCCATCCGTCTATGTATCTGCAACCTAAACCCTGAACCCTAGACCCTAGACCCTAAACCCTAAACCCCAAACCCCAAAGCCTAAACCCTAAACGCTACACCACAAAAGGCCCGCCATCCCCAGCGTATCTTGGTGGTTTAGGGGCGGTTTGGAGTTAGGGAGGACTGGGCACCTGCCTTCGACCCTAAACCCTAAACTCTAAACCCTAAACCCTAAACCCTGGAACCCTAAACCCTAAACTCTGAACCCTGAACCCTAAACCCTAAACCCTAAACCCTAAACCCTGAACCCTGAACCCTAAACCCTAAACTCTACACCCTAAACCCTAAACTTCCAGGACATGGGCGACTGCTACATGGGCTCCCCTCCGAGTTGGCACCCGGTGGGTGTGTACGCCCTGATCAAGGTGGCAGGCCAGAGAGGGGTGTAGGGGCAGGACATGCATTACACTTAAAGACCCAAAGTCCTGAACTTCGCGGTTGTTTCTGCAAGCGCTTTTCCCTTAACTCCCTGAACTCCCTTAACTGAAGCTAGAACGCACAGCAGTAGCATCCTCATCCCCTGGTTAGGCTCCCTTTATCCAAAGGCGAACCCGCCCTTCGCCCTAAACCCGAAACGCTAAACAACTCCCTAAACCCTAAACGCTACACCCTAAACCCTAAACCCTAAACCCTAAACCCTAAACCCTAAACCCTAAACCCTAAACCCTAAACCCTAAACCCGAAACCCTAAACCCTAAACCCTAAACCCAAACCCCACAGATGCCTACAAGCCCTATACTCCGGGCCTCAGAGTTCCTCCTATGGCAGGCGCCATCATCCAGAACCGCGTGTACCTTGGCGGTTCTTTTCTGCTCTTCTTGGCCCACCTGAACCCTAAACCCTAGACCCGAAACCCTAAACCCTAAACCCTAAACCCTAAACCCTAACCCCTAAACCGGCATCCCCGAAGCAGAAAAACAAACGCCGCCAAGGTACGGATTCGAGATGGACGTGCTCTTTCCTGCCACTTGCCATGGGAGGAAGGGGGAGCCCGGCCTAGGGCTTAGGGCTAGGGGGTGTCAGTGCGTTTTCGCCCCTAAACCCTAAACCCTAAACCCTATATAAACCCTAAACCCTAAACCCTAAACCCTAAACCCTAAACCCTAAACCCTAAACCCTAAACCCTAAACCCTAAACCCTAAACCCCACACCCGAAACCCTAGACCCTTTATGAACCCTAGGGGTTCCGGGGGCTTCTCACCCCAAAGACCTAACGCCCACAACCCCTCAAACCTACATGATTCACCATCTTGGAGTGAAACTTGGTAGCCCAATGGTACCCTTTATCTTTGTTTTTGGGTTCTGGGTTCCCTTAGGTTTAGGGTTTAGGGTTTAGGGTTGAGGGTTTAGGGTTTAGGGTTTAGGGTTTAGGGTTTAGGGTTTAGGGTTTAAGGCCCAAAAAAGGGTGCCCTTATTGTAATATGGTTACTGAGGTACCAAGGAAAGTAGCCTGTCCACTACATGGTCAGTTCTCTACAGTAGGGTCCCGTTTTGGGTTCCCCTAGATACATTAGGGGCCACCTCGCATAATAGGGACCCCAAAAGGCACCATATTTTGGAGAACTGACCATATCGTCCCTCCCTAAACCCTAAACCCTAAACCCTAAACCCTAAACCCTAAAACCTAAACCCTAAACCCCAATCCCCTTAGGATTTAGGAATTGCTTCTGATTCTTGTTTTTCAAAACCAAGTCGCAGGGCCTTTAGACGTTGGCTCTGCGGGGTGCATGGCCCAGATTGGCCCCTAATCTACGACCCAGCATAGGCCCTTATTCCCTTTGTTTTAGGGTTTAGGTTCCCTTAAAACCACCCCCTTTATAATCGTAGTGCAACCCTAAACCCTAAACCCGAAGCCGTAAACCCTAAGCCCCCCTTTGTACACCCACAAGGGTACCCGTTGTCTTTGTAGGTTACTCTTGGGTCTAGTATCTAAGGCCGTTACATGGTACCTCAATATGGTCCCTAATCCCCTTTAAAGGCTTCTGAAGTATGTATCGGGCACAGGGGTATATAAGGGGTACATTTGAAGGCCCCAAACTAAGGGACCATGTAAGTGCCCTCAGATAGGAATCCCGTAGCTCTGAACATACTTCGCTGAGAACGAACTAGCCATCTTGCTCCCCCGAGTCTTGGGGCTAAGGACGGACTTGTAAGGTTCAACCCCTACACCCTGAACCCTGAACCCTGCACCCTGAGCACGGAACCGCAAAGGCCATGTACCTGGCGCAGAACCACTCGATGGCATACTGGCGCTTTGACATCAGCGTGGTTGATGCTGGGCAGAACTTTCCGCACCCATACCCGAACCTGTTAACCCTAAACCCCTAAACCCTAAGCCCCTAAACCCCCAAACCCAAAGCCCAATACCCTAGCAAGCCTCGACCCCAAACCCTCAAGACTCATAAACCCTAATTGAGTGTAGGGTTGAGGGTTTAGGGTTGAGGGTTGAGGGTTTAGGGTTTAGGGTTTAGGGTTCAATTGGTGCCTGTGCATGGGGTTCTGTTTTGGGGCGACGTCGGCCTCCGCATCACATCGTGCGGCTTCTGCGAGGTTGGGTTTAGGGTTTAGGGTTTAGGGTTTAGGGTTTAGGGTTTAGGGTTTAGGGTTTAGGGTTTAGGGTTTAGGGTTTAGGGTTTAGGGTTTAGGGTTTAGGGTTTAGGGCGATTTGCTGAAGAACCCCCCCCCAAAAAAAATAGGAAAAATAGAATTCCCTCAGCTGCCCTCATAGGGAGGATTCTGTCTTATTTTTTGGGGGCTCTTAAGCCAATAGTAGATTCGCCGACATCGTATACATCCCGGCGAGCCAGGACATGGTGTCAATCCTGGGATTTTACGTCGTATCCGCTGGAGCTTAGCTTTTCATATGCGGTATACCGAACATGTACATCTTCTTGCCTGGAGTGCCCACCCCGAAGAAAGCCTGGAGTGCTTTCCCCCCAAAAAGTATCCCTGGAGTGCCCACCCCCAGAGAATAGGAGTACCCTGGAGTACCCACCCCACAGAAGCCCGCAAGAGTCCCGCGAAGTATCGGGAGTGCCCGCCCTCAGTGCCTCGACACTACCTTGCGGCGAAGTCTCCGTCATTGCCTGTCTGAAAACGACAGGAGGGCTCCCAATCAGGTGGCTGCATGGTGGGGCTGATCGAAGTAAATACCCTAAACCCTAAACCCTAAACCCTAAACCCCAAACTCGAAGTACTTTTTCACAATGCTTTGGAAAGAGCAACACACAAGCATGTTTTTATCCGGTCTGGCAGCTGTTCAGCCTTTCCGTTCAGTGCATCTTGCGATCTTCAGGTGAGCTTCTCTGCACCAAGTAGTGGGTACGTACGAAGAACTCTCTGTTCGTGTTTGGGGCAATCCTATGATGACAAAATCGCAAGCCCGGCAGACGCCTTAAGGCAAGCTGCACCCCGATTGCAGCCAGCCGGATCCTAGTGAAGCTGCTTTTCGTGGCACGGCTGGCCCGGTATGAGGGATCTAGAAGCCAAAAGCGTTTCCACGAGCTGAATTTCGGGTTCAGCCGGGTTCAGCTAATCCCTTTCGGACACAACCGCCCCAAACCCTAAAGCGTCACCCCAAACCCTATAAAGCCCAAACCCTGAACCCTGAACCCTAAACCCTAAACCCAGATAAACCCCAAACCCTAAACCCTAAACCCTAAACCCTAAACTCTGAACCCTAAACCCTAAACCCCAAACCCTTGTTGTCAAGGATGCCTACGGCTTCGGGCGCGACTCCACGTACGAGCCCGCCCCGTTCAAGCCGCAAGACCCGGGGACGCTGCAGATGTACAAGGAGCTTAGCTTGGATGCTGCGCCCTACTGGTAGGGTTTAGGGTTTAGGGTTTAGGGTTTAGGGTTTAGGGTTTAGGGTTGAGGGTTTAGGGTTTAGGGTTTAGGGTTTAGGGTTTAGGGTTTAGGGTTTAGGGTTTAGGGTTTAGGGTTTAGGGTTGGGGGGCTTATAAGTGCCCTAAACACTAAACCCCCTAAACCCCCTACACCCCCTAAACCCCCCAAACCCCTTAAACCCCCTAAACCCCCTAAACCCTCAAAACCCTCAAAACCCTCTAAACCCTCCAAACCCTCCAAACCCTCTAAACCCTCTAAACCCTCTAAACCCTCCAAACCCTCCAAACCTTCTAAACCCTCTAAACCCTCTAAACCCTCTAAACCCTCTAAACCCTCTAAACCCTCCAAACCCTCTAAACCCTCCAAACCCTCTAAACCCTCTAAACCCTCTAAACCCTCTAAACCCTCTAAACCCTCCAAACCCTCCAAACCCTCGAAACCCTCTAAACCCTCTAAACCCTCTAAACCCTCTAAACCCTCTAAACCCTCTAAACCCCAAACCCTCAACCCTACACCCTAAACTCCTAAACCCTAAACTCTAAACCCTGAACCCTAAACCCGAAACCCTGCCAAGCCCCCCCAAGCGCCGCCCGATGCAGGAGAAGCCCATGGTGGACCCCATTCCGGTGAACCTCGAGATGCTGGGAGCTCGGGGGATGTGGGGACTTGAACTAAGGCTTTAGGGTTCAGGGTTTAGGGTTTAGGGTTTGGGGTTTAGGGTTTAGGGTTTAGGGTTTGGGGTTTAGGGTTTAGGGTTTAGGGTTTAGGTTTTAGGGTTTGGGGTTTAGGGTTTTGGTTTTGGGGTTTATGGTTTTGGGTTTAGGGTCTAGGGTTGAGCTGAGTTCAGCACTCTTGATCGAGCAGTTGTACGGTTAAGTTGTATTTACGGCTCTGATATAACACCCACCCACCCAGAGAAACCCATAACATTGAGAAAGCAAACCAACGGCCTCATTCTGCAATAAAAAACAATAAACAAATACAGAAATAAAAAAGTATAAAAAATCAAATCAAATAAATAAATAATATATATATATAGATGGTAGAGAGGGCTGAGCTGAATTGGGAGGGTTGAGGATTGGGAGGGTTGAGGGGTTGAGGGGTTTAGGGGCTTAGGGGCTTAGGGTTTTGGGGGTTTATATAGGGGTTTAGGGGTCTAGGTGGTTGTGGGATTGGGTGTTTAGGCATTTCGGGGTTCGGGCATTTACAGGTTCGAGGTTGCAAGAGGCTCGGGCTGTAGGGCTTCAACTTAGAGTCTACCCTAAACCCTAAACCCTAAACCCTAAACCCTAAACCCTAAACCCTAAACCCTAAACCCTAAACCCTAAACCCTAAACCCTAAACCCTAAACCCTAAACCCTAAACCCCCTGAACCCCAAAGCCCGTAAATAAAACCCACTGAGCAAGCGTGCACCCCGAAAGCCCTAGACCTAAACCCCTAACCCCTAAACCCCGCAGACCCCTCTACCTTAAACTCTCTGCCCGTACCCTGCGTGGAACTATAAATGGGTACTCTATACCCTAAACCCTAAGCCCTAAACCCTAAACCCTAAACCCTAAACCTCAAAGGGTGTACATAGGGCCCTAATTCCCCAATTTCCCGCCTAAGAATCCGGGGGTTTGTGGCGATCATGCCCAGGGCCCGTCCCTAATCCCTGGCCCTAAAGTTTAGGGTTAAGGGTTTAGGGTTTAGGGTTTAGGGTTTAGGGTTTAGGGTTTAGGGTTCAGGGTTTAGGGTTTAGGGTAGCTACCCTAAACCCTAAACCCTAAACCCCGTAAAGCCTGTACATCCTTGCAAATCCTTGTGAACCCTGTAAACCCTGCAAACCCTGCAAACCCTAAACCCTCAACTCTAAGCTCAAAACTCTAAACCCTGAACCCTAAACCCTGAATCCTACCCACCCTCAGCCCTGAACCCTAAGCCCTAAACCCTAATCACTA